TGGGGCCACGAAACGTGTGAGCACTGGGGTTTTCGGTGGAGCTCCCTATGGGGCCACGAAACGTGTGAGGGGTGTGCCGAAATGGGTGGTGGGGAGGCATGCGAACCCTGCCACTGGGGCCTTTTGTGGAGCTCCCTATGGGGCCACGAAACGTGTGAGGGGTGTGCCGAGATGGGTGGTGGGGAGGCATGCGAACCATGCCACTGGGGCCTTCGGTGGAGCTCCCTATGGGGCCACGAAGCGTGTGAGGGGTGTGCCGAGATGGGTGGTGGGGAGGCATGCGAACCCTAAGAGGGAGGAGGGCGAGGAGGAGGAGGAGGAGGAGGAGGAGGAGGAGGAGCAGGAGGAGGAGGAGGAGAGGAGGAGAGGAACGCGGGGCACCGTCTCTTCAAAGCGAGGACCCAACATCACAGGATGGTTGGGAAAAACAAATCGTTGCGTACAACACATGCACTGCGTTACGCACACTGCGTAAACAACATTGCGAAATTAAGCACTGTGTAACAAAAATGTTGCGTTAATAAACACACTGCGTAAACAACAAAGCACTGCGTAGTAAAACATTGCGTGGAATACACTGCGTTCGGATAATTGCGTTAAAAACATTGCGTGGACGATTTCAATCCACGCCTAAGACCAACCCTCCCCGAACAAGTTTTCTCCTGTGCTTCCGCTCCCAGGTCACCCATAGGGGGGCGAAGATAACGGCGTTTTCCTTCTCCAGGGCGGCGGCGCGAGGGAGCGAAGATGACCGCATGCCGCGCACCGCGGGGCGCGACGCGCAAAGTTGGGTCCCTCCTCCTCCTCCTCCTGACCTGAAGTCTCCAGAGGCTTTGCCCCCTTGACCAGACCCCTTGATCACCACCCGCTCCTAGTCCCGCTCCTTGGGCCCCCCTCGTGCGCACGTTCGCTCCGCCGTGGCCCAGCGCTCGCTCCGACCGACTCGCGCTTCCGCCGAACCCGAGACAAAACAGGCTCTTTTTGGTCGTCGTTTTCGTATTCGTTGTTTTGCCGATCGGCGCGGGCCCTGGCACGCCGCCCTCCCCCCCCATGGAGTAGATCATCGCTGTTTGTGGCGCCTGTTTCGAGCAGGTGGAGTCTCCCACATAATGGACGCGCTGTTGCAAACCGTCGCACTCAGCAGAGGTCCGGAGCCAGCTCCCCCCCCTCCTCCCTCCCGCCCAATGCCGAAACGCCGAATAAGAAAACCCTCACTTGTGGAGAACGTGTCCGCTGGCTCAGGTGCTCCGTCGGTCCAGGGCTTCCGTCGGTCAAGAGGGAGGGGGGCCCGGGGGCCCCTGGCGCGAGGTGCCCCCAGCCTTCCCCGCCATGCTGAAGCCCCTGTGGGGGCCTCCCTGGGCCCGGCGGCGGGGTGCTCTGGGGGGCAGCGCTGGGACACAGGCCGCCCTCGGCAGGGGGGCACCTCGCGCGCGAGCCCGTCCTGAATTCCCTCCTGCTCCTCCTCCCACTCCCCCTCCCCCTCCTCCTCCTCCTCCTCCTCCTCCTCCTCCTCCTCCTCCTCCTCCTCCTCCTCCTCCTCCTCCTCCTCCTCCTCCTCCTCCTCCTCCTCTCAGTGGATCAGGAGCCCAAATGGGTTTCTGCCTGGCGCCACGCGACTTCAATGACTGTTACAACCCAGTAGTGCAGAAGTGGGTACAATCGGATGATAACTGTGCATCACGGCTCCTGACCGCGGTGTGTCCAGTGACGGGTGCAGAGGTTAACTTGTCAGTCGTTACCTTTATGGATGATATTACAAAGCTGTCTGCATGGGAGGGATCGGTAACGGCCTATGGTGTGTGTGCAGAGCTAAATCACATTACGAGAAGACTGGAGGACACACTATCGGAGGGCAACTGGAGACTCAACCCTACCAAGACAGGGCATCTACTTACTATCATTGGGCCAGGGTCAAATGAAGTTACTAGGCAGGTACGACATAAGAAGAGTGGACTATTAGGGGAGTCAGGGAGGGAGCTGCGTGTACTCGGACCATATCTGCACAGCACGGGCAACATGGGAGGTGAGATAGCAAGGAGGATAGTGGCAGTACGAAGAGCGTGGAGGCAGGGAGGGCCTTTTTGGGCATCGGACTCACCGTGGGAAGTACGGAGGATGATGTTTATTGCTTTTGTGCAGGGTGCAGCGCTGAGTGGTCTCACAGGGATGTTGCTGGAAACTAGGCATACGGATGCACTGGACACGGCGTTGTGCAAGCTACTTAGATTCTTGGATAGAGGTAAGAGTTCGCGGGTGGACGGAGAGGGAGAAAGGCGACAGTTATGTAGAGGAGCTGTATTCAGAAAGTGGAATATTAATACTTGTGCAAGGGAGCTACGTGTGCGAAGGCTTAAGATGTATCAAAAATGGGCAATCAACCCCCAGTCTCATAAGCAAGTATTTGGAGCCATTTTCGGCACGACCCCCCTGGACGAAAAACCCGGAATGAAAGAAGGGGGGCGGATAGGACCAGACAGCACCCCGTGGGCACAACAGTTTCTGCAGGACCTTCGTTACCTCAGGAGTCACTGTGAAGACATGAGCTGGTACGATGGCCGACTATCGGACATAGCGTTGCTGCAGGAAGGTACTACGGACAGGGCTCACTGGATGCAGACTGATATTAATATTTTACGCACAATGTACACGACACAAGCATGGAAAGCGCAGCAAGATCAATATGAACGTAGCATGGGTAAGGAAGAGGATGTGATATTGGAGGAGGAGAAGCCACATGTGTGTGATGTGAAGGTGATGGGGGAGGATGAGACACTGCACGAGTGTGGAGCACGGTACAAAACATACAGCGGACTGACGACGCACAAAACGTGCGTCCATGGACAGAGGGCCTTACTTAGCCTACTGACAATCACGAACCAGTGCCCGCGGTGCAGAAGTACTTTCAGTACAAGAGACATAGCAGTGCAGCACGTGTATGCAGCATGTGAGGACAACAAGTTTTGCTATGTAAATTTCAGCCCTTGGAGACATGAGGTCAAACCACCCACGTCGCTCGAGTGTCCCGTTTGTGACTTTGTGGCCCAAGACCTGGACACATGTCATACGCACGTGTGTTCTCATCACGAGGGACCGACAGGAGAGCGTAGACCTCGGGCGGATGGCGGACTGGAGGCTGCCAGCGGGAGAAGTCTCAGCTGCAGGCAGTGGAGGAAATCCTGGCGAGGGATCTGGGGGCGGCAAGGGCGGCCTGGGCGGAGAGAGAGAGCGGCGAAGCAGCTGAAGACAAAGGGAGGAGAGCGCGGAGCAGGATCACGGCAGGGTCGAGGGGACGAACAGATCGACCTCGTAGAGGCGGTGATAACGTTGCAGAAGATGGGGCTCCGTCAGGATCAGCGCAGCAGAGAGCACGAACACATGTTATGCCAATTTTTCTTGCTAGGGAAGATGAACCCAGTGAGCCAGGCAGGCCTCCAGGCGGGATTGAAGTACAACAAGGAGGTGCAGCAGCGGGGACGTGGACATGGGTTAGGACCGCCGCAGACCCACGTGGCCGCAGCAGTGGTGGAAGCGCTGGAGGCAGTTTCCAAGGACGGTGCGAAGGAGGTGCTAGGCAAGTACAAGGTGCTGATCAACAGCGGGGCGGGGAGGGCGGCCTTGACGGAGCTGTTCGGCTGCTTCAGGGTGAAGGAGGCATGCAGCGAGGACGGCGCGGACGAGAAGAACATCAAGGTGAAGATCACCTACCAGGTCAACCCAGCGGCCGACTTAGAGAAGGTCGCCATGACAACGAAGTTCGTGATGGACACAATGCCCTCCCCGCAGACCTTCAGACGGGCCATGTACGCCACATTCCTGGAGCAGGGAGGGGTGGAGGCGGAGGGACCTGCGCCCAAGGACGAGCTCACACGTGTGACAGAGCGCCAGTTGAAAGCACTGCAGCAGGTGAGACGGTAAACGATATTAGCAGGAGGATTGACTTCACTGACTCTAGAGTGATGGGAAATTTGAGGAGGATGGCGCATGCTGGAAGTGAGTACGCCAGGCAGTTAGTTTTAGAGGCAGAGAGATTGAATATGCAGCGTCACGGGAGGGACCGCGCCCAGTAAGGTAGGTTCCTCCCCCTGCAGCGGGAACGGACAGTGGCCCCCCACGCTGCAGCGGCCCTTCCTCGCTGTGACGGACCGCAGCTGGGAGGCGCCGTAGGCCAAAACCAGCTTGCTTGCAAGAGTGCAGCTGGGGGCTATTTCCATATCTTCGCAGAGGGCAATGAATCCCATGAAGTGGAGCATTGAATGCAGTAGTTCAGTGGTTATCGGATTGGGACGCCCTCCCAGCGCACTCACTCACTCACTCACTCCTCCTCCTCCTCCTCCTCCTCCTCCTCCTCCTCCCCCTCCTCCTCCTCCTCCTCCTCCTCCTCCTCCTCCTCCTCCTACTATCCTCCTCCTCCTACTACCTCCTCCTCGCTCCTTCTCCTCCTACTCCTCCTCCTCTCCCTCCCCCTCCCCCTCCCCTGCTCCTTCTCCTCTCCTCCTCCTCCTTATCCTCCTCCTCTCCTCCTCCTCTCCTCCTCCTTCTCGCTCCTCCTCCTCCTCCTCCTCCTCCTCCTCGTCCTCCTCCTCCCCTCCTCCTCCTCCTCCTCCTCCTCCTCCTCCTCCTCCTCCCCCTGATAGTCCTGGCGGGATCAAAGGTGGCACCTGAACGACGCAACAGCAACAACAACAACAACAACAACAAAACAAAAACGACGTCGTCTGCGCCGACATTGGCGCGTAAGCTGCCCGCGTAAGGTCGCGCGCAAGCGCCCTCGCTTCCCGTGTAGCGTGCCGCGCCGGCGGCCCGCGTGAGCCACCGCGCAAGTTCGCTACGCCATCTCGCGTAAGACAAATTTATGTCTGTCGCTCACCTGGACTTTAAGGGTTCGATATGCGAAGAAGTTTTGGAGCAGCCCCTGATGGGTCAGTACTCTGGAAGGTCAGCGTCCAGCGACGCCCGTCCTCCAGGGTCGGGCGGGCGCTTGCGTCCGGGCTCCCCGACAG